GTACTTTCCAAGAATGTCACCATCTCTAAATAGGAAATAATCCTTGTCATCTAGAACTACTTTGGTGCCTCCATATTCTGGGAGAAGAACTTTATCTCCAACTTTCACGCTAACTGGTCGAATCTCTCCACCCTTTCCTTTAGAACCTGATCCAACAGCGACTACTGTTGCTGCAATACTTTTCCTTGAGATTTTTCTGGAAGCATAATGCCTCCTTTGGTTATAGTTTGCAGCACTTCTTTCAGCCAATACTCGGTCAAAGAGTGGAAGAAACTGTCTAAATGCTTGTCCTGCCATGACGCCCTCTGCCTCAGACTCGAACTCTGCTCGTGTAGTGCCGCAACCCTGTCGACAAGTGAAAAGACCGCCTGGGCACAGGCGCGCTCGCCCCCGCACCCGCCGTTCGCCCTTGTCCCTCCCCGTGAGGGAGAGCGGTTGCCCCAGGGCATGCTGTGATTCGCCCCAAGGGCCGTAACGCGGGGACTGGGAGGCGGCACGCTCAGCTAACTTTTTATGTTTTTAGTACAGACAGGGTTTCGCCATGTTGGCCAGGCTGGTCTAGAACTCTTGACCTCAGGTGATTCGCCCGCCTCGGCCTCCCACAGTGCTGGGATTAGACTTTAATCACCACGCCCGACCCTAACTCTTATTTTTAAATGTTTCATTTTTTTGTAGAGACATGGTCTCTGTATGTTTCTCAGGTCAGCCTTGAACTCCTGGGCTCAAGTGATCCTCCTACCTAGGCCTCTCAAAGTGCTGGGATTACAGGCCTGAGTCACCACACCTGGCTCCCTCCCAACTCTTGGGTTTTAGGGAAATTGGAACCACGGCCAGTCCCTAGGATCACTCTTTTGTTGTTGTTGTTGCTTTTTGAGAGTCTCGCTCTGTCGCCCAGGCTGGAGTGTAGTGGCACAATCTTGGCTCACTGCAGCCTCCGCCTCCCAGGTTCAAGCGATTCTTCTGCCTCAGCCTCCGGAGAGTAGCTGGGACTACAGGCATGCGCCCCCACGCCCAGCTAATTTTTTGTATCTTTAGTAGAGATAGGGTTTCACCGTGTTGGCCAGGCTGGTCTCGAACTCCTGACCTCAGGTGATCCACCTGCCTCGGCCTCCCAAAGTGCTGGGATTACACGCGTGAGCCACCACACTCGGCCTAGGACCAGTCTTTTTTTTTTTTTTTTTTGAGACGG